AACGATAAACAACTTACACGTAATCAGTGTGTCTAGTATTAGAAACTATAAACAACTTACACGTAATCAGTGTGTCTAGTATTAGAAACGATAAACAACTTACATGTAATCAGAGTGTCTAGTATTAGAAACTATAAACAACTTACATGTAATCAGTGTGTCTAGTATTAGAAACTATAAACAACTTACATGTAATCAGAGTGTCTAGCATTCGAAACGATAAGCAACTTACACGTAATCAGAGTGTCTAGTATTAGAAACTATAAACAACTTGCACGTAATCAGAGTGTCTAGTATTAGAAACTATAAACATCTTACACGTAATCAGAGTGTCTAGTATTAGAAACTATAAACAACTTACACGTAATCAGCGTGTCTAGCATTCGAAACGATAAACAACTTACAAGTAATCAGAGTGTCTAGTATTAGAAACGATAAACAACTTGCACGTAATCAGTGTGTCTAGTATTAGAAACTATAAACAACTTACACGTAATCAGAGTGTCTAGTATTAGAAACTATAAACAACTTACACGTAATCAGTGTATGTAGTATTAGAAACTATAAACAACTTACACGTAATCAGTGTGTCTAGTATTCGAAACGATAAACAACTTACATGTACTCGGTGTAACTATCGTTGGAGTATCCGTCAGGCCAGACCATGAAACAAATGATCCGATAATCACCGTTTTTGAACGTTTCTGTGATCGTGGTGGAGTAGATGAGGTTGGGAAGGGAAAGAAGACTTCCAGCCACCCAGATGCACACAGTAATTATGAGTGTCGTCTTCCTAGACATCCGAGGTTTAAGAGGATGCATGATGGCCATGTACCTAAAAGTAAAAACAAAAATATCTCAGTAATTACCGAACTACTCTTGACACTGAAACAAGATATTGCTCGTGGTGGGCACAGCACAGGTAGCCTATTGTGTAGGTTCACGCTTAGCAACAAAGAAACAACCAATTAAAACTAAGTTGTTTAACATCTGAAATAAGAACAGTGATTCCACTCTCTTGGTGTGGACATCTTAATCTCAGGACTGTTATAATATAGGTCTTGAAATCCTTGGGCTGTAACATGATAAGTAACTATTTTTAACACTGCTGGAACGTTTCACTGAATAACATAATTACAAAAATAAAATAAAATCTCATATTTAATCGTGTCATAACTGTTTTAACGAACAGTAAGATCAAATAAATATGTGAGGAAAATGTATTATAAGACAGATTCACGATAGTCTTAAAGCACATCTGAAAACAAAGGAAAGGTAATAAATAAGCTGAGTCCCTCTGAAGATATAATGTTTTCCATTTTAGGTGAATTCACACTTGAAGAAGGAAAACCACTCTACAAAATCACTGGAGTTATCTAATTAACACCTGAAGAAAGAAAACCACTCTACAAAATCACTGGAGTTATTTAATTAACACCTGAAGAAAGAAAACCACTCTACAAAATCACTGGAGTTAT